TGCTGGTTAAGGACTTCGGTCTTCAGTGACCAAGGTCTTGGACTTGACGCTAGATGGTCTGGATTCTCGACTTCGTGGCCTTGGTCTCATACTGGCTGAGGTCTTCGATTTTCACAAGTTGAGGTCTCTGGCTTAGTGGCCTTGATCTCATACTAGCCGAGGTCTTTGGTTTTCACTAGTTGAGGTCTATGACTTAGTAGCCTAGGTCTTATGCTGGCCTAGGTCTACGATCTTCACTAGCCGAGGTCTCTAGCTTAGTGGCCTCGGTCTTATGCTGGCCAAGGTGCTTTCAAGCTTCCAATGTTGTCGGGGAGCTCGGTGGCACCTGGTCTTAGAGAGTTGCATTCTATTTGGTTGAGCTATCCATGGTCATCGATTAGTTTTGCTCCGACAACGAGTTGGGTGGGTGTGTGGAGTTAGATGGCCATCCTATTGCCATTATGTGGCGGGGACGTCATTCCCGTGGTGCCCGTCGGAGGCTTGTTCTGGCCTCAACCATCTGTGGTCAGTTGGGTCTTTCGTGGGGTTACTGTCGCGTTGCGATCGTTGGTCAATGCAAAGTCTGGTCATTGGAGTTCGACCAAGCTATGCATGGGCGTTTGGTCATTTGTGCTTGAAGAGGATTCTTTATTTATTGAATTTGTACGATTTGGTCACCATTAGTGTTCAGTGCTGATGGTTGTCGGTACATTTTAGTTTTGGTACTCTAGCTCTTTGGGTAGATCTTCAATGCCTAGTTTCCCCTTTTAAGGGTCATCCTGCTCGAGATGACGGTGATGACCCCAACCAGGGAAGTTCTGGATGGGGGATCGTCGGCGTAGGCGGTTCTTATCTAGGTTTATGTTCTTTGATGTCAATGAATCTGCAAAGGTATCCACATGGGACGAGGTCTTCCAGGTGATGGCAACGGTTGTGGCAACTCTCGATGTTGTGGTCGTGGTTACAATGGAAGTTGCAAAACTTGTCTCAATTTCTCTTGTAGCCCTGAGTTTTAATCTTCTCGAGCCACTTGACGGAGTTGCAGTCGATCAATCACAGATTTGCATTAGTATGTGAGCCCACGGAGCATTGAGTGGAGTGAATTTGTGATACGTCGGTGGCAGTGTCCTTAGTCTACAGTCAAGTCGGCAATTTATCCTCTTGGTTTCTCAGTTCAGTCTTTAGTTGTCATGGTCTTTGCGCTTCCAGTCGTGCTAGTCATCATCCTCCCTATGCAACGCTTGGGCCTCTTCGACATTCATATACTTCCGTGCATGCTTCATGAGCACAGTCAGGTTGGGCGGAGAGTGTTTTTGCAAAGAGAAGCTGAACATCGAGGAGTACAGTCCGCTCATGATGGTGGTCATAGCTACTGATTGGTTTAGTGCTCGGACCTAGAGGGCCTCAGCGTTGAACCTCGCCAAGTATTCCCTCAAGGTTTCTCCTTTCCTTTATCGCACTTGCATAAGGCCGGCTGACATCTTTTAGTGCCTTTGGTTAAAGGTGAACTGTGCTAGGAACTATGTCTCTAGCAGCTCCCAAGAGGATATGGACCACGAAGGAAGGGAGGCGCACCAGGTTCTGGTGATTCCATGGATGGTGGTGACGAAGGCCTTGCACATGAGGCCTTCAGAGGAGCCATGCAACATCATTATCGCCTTGAACCCCTCAATGTGGTCATTGGGGTCTGAGGCTCCATCATACTTCTCGAACTGAGGAGGTCGCCATCCGACTAGGGGGAGCTCGTCGACGATCTCTTGGATAAAGATGGGCTCTTTGGCGGG